GAGGAGCTGCGTGACATCATCGAGAAGGCGCGTGAGATGGAGCAGGGCTGCGGTCACCTGTTCGACTCCATCATCGTGAACACGGATCAGGACAAAGCTTTCACCGAGCTGCTGAGACTCATCAACAAGCTGGACACGGAGCCGCAGTGGGTGCCCTGCTCCTGGCTGCGCTGAGCACACGGACACACACTCACACACACACACGCAGCTCGGGGTCAGCATCAGGACAGAAATCATCTGAGATTTTGAATCAAACTGTTCGTGTTTGTTATTGAGAGCAGGTCGATCCTGCTGAGCAACAATAAAAACAATAAAATCATCGACTAACGAGACGCAGTGACGTCACAACGAGCTCAAATTATTTCTGTTATCTTAGTGGGAACATGAACAATCTGGTCTCTGACCAATAAAAATGAGTCTCAGCATTAAGCTCCTCCTCCTGTCCCAGCAGGGGGCGGGCCTCACAGCCTGTAGTATCGCTGCCGCTCGATTGGTTCACATTTCAGCGTGTTTCTGTCCTCGTGGTCACGTGCAGACGGAGTTGTTCGCTCACATTTTTGGAGATGCAGAGCTCTGCCCCGCCCACTGAGGCATTCTGAGATACCTGAGGGCGAGCAGGCTCGGAGCAGCGAGTTTATAATCCTTTTCTTTTTTTCACGACACAAACTGAAACTTTTGACCTTTGACCTTCTGCTCATTTCTCGTTTTTAAACGTTTTGCTGGAATATTTATTGTGTAAATCGACACTGATGTCGCTGCATTAAAAACTTTATTTTGGAAAGATTCTGAACGTCTTTCCAGCTTTATTCTGAAAGTCTCAGATGTTTGTTTCCTGTCGCTGACTCTGAATCAGTTTACGAACACACTCTGACGTCAGACTGTTTCAGGACGTCGTGTTTTTCTTGGAGTCGTGTTCGTGTCGGACCTCGCCGCTGTCGGCGCCGCCTCGTCGTCATTTCGTTTTAATGTTTGTTTTTATTTGTTGTAAACACACCCACCTGTCCAGGTGAGGCTCCTCAGGAGGAAATGTGAAGATCAAACACTTTGGCTGCTGACTCCGCCCCCTCGGCCGGGCTGAGAGCGCAGACTTCCTGTCTGACTGACTTTTACTGCACTTGTGTTTGTTTTTGTATCAGCTGATTCTGTTTGACCTTTGACCCGGCGGCCTGCAGGTGTGTGTGTGTGACTGAGCTGAAGTAGAGACTCTGTATCATCACTGTAGAGCTTTTATATATTTGTAATATTCAGAATAGATTTATGAAGACCAGAATGCACCAATAGGAGTGCAGCTTTCTCGCCCTCATCCCCTGCTATTGGTCCAGGAGGAA